AGCTAAGTCTAGAGGATGTGAAAAAGGTTGCTTTTCATTATGGATTTGAACTTGAGGTAAATTCGGCTTTTGCTACTTTTGTGTAGTTTCAGTATTATTTGACATTTGACTAGTAGTCTGGATTTGCATTGTGAAATGCAGAAAGAGTCAATATTTGAGACAACCTATACAACTAACCCACGCGCAATGATGCAAGTAAGCATTTTTTTGTCTTTGAATTAATTTGTTCTCTTTCAATTGCTTTTATTTTCTCGTATGCTATGTTGTTTCAATCATCACCATCATTAGCAGCTTAATCTCTACTATGCTGGGCTGGGTGACATGAACTTTAATGTCAACTATTTGGTCAAAGTTAACCAGTAAACCACTATAAACTAATGAAAAATGTGCCCTATATAATTTGTGTTACTATCTTATGATTATTTAACTTTTATTTATTTATTTATTTATTTATTTATTTATTTATTTATTTATTTATTTATGATTTTACATATTTTTATTTTTTGTTGGATGGATTTAGTGGGGGAGGGGTGTTGGTTAGATGACTCTTCTTCTAGTCTTCTCTGTCAATCTCTCCGGTTATACGTTTATACCTTCTTCTCTTCTTCAACCGTCTATTCTTCTTCTCTGTCGATCTCTCCGGTCATCTCTTTCCCTGATTTTTTCTTCATTTTCTCTTTTCTTCTTCAATTATCTTCATCTCCTTAATCAAAATATTAAGAGTCTAACCACAATTTCTTTTTGCTTCATCTTCAAAATTCTGGTTTTTCTTTTTTTCTTCTTCTCATTCTACTTCAATTATCTTTTTCTCCTTCATCAAATTATTAATAATCTAACGATTTCGTTCTTCTTCATTCTCAAAATAAGCCTAGGATTTTTCTCCCTCCATCAATTCAAAAACAAAATTTTATTGATCTAAATAAATATTTGTGTTTGTATTTGAAAACCTGTAACATTCCTTCAAGTTGCATTTCGACTTGGTTCAGGTTACATTTCCATTTTAACGCCATTTACATTTCGACTTGTCTCAGCAAGTTATCGATGATTTTTTTTACATCTCGACTTGCTTGGAATAACATTTTGCATGTACGCGGTTTATATATTTATATATTAAAGGTGAGAAACAACTACCGGAGGGAGTAACACGAGTTACACTCAAGTGCATGAGTTGCATTTTCTACCAATTGAAATTATATTTGTACCAATGCGAGTTACATTTCAGCACAACGGGTTTACATCACGAAAAAAGTTGAGACAAAAATCATAGTTATTGTTCATCCGTATTTTTTCAGTTAAATCTTTAATCAAATGACATCGTTTTAGCTATATGGGAATATAATGCTCACTATGAGCCGCTCTCACGGTATAACATCAGGCTAATAAGTGATGGCTGCTTAGACAAGGCCAAATTATCTGTTTTCAAAGTATATCATGTACTCGTAACTCTTATAAACGCAAAACCAAAAACTGGATATGTGCACATCCAATTGACGTAAATCCCAAAAACTTTCTTTGCTTTGAGACTTGTAAAGTTGTAATGGGTTTTACTTTTTTGAGCATTTACACTAGAAGGCTTATCCTGAGGTTAATTCATATGATTACAGAATCGCTACTACGCTGCTTTTTGGACGATGAGAAAGAAAAGAAACACAGTAGAGCGAGCGTTGCTGCAATCTCCCATTGTTTCAAGTGGCCAGAAGGGAATGTGACATTAGATAACTGCTTTCGGGGTTGTTATTATAAGATCTATTCATATGTAGACTCAATTTTGAGATATGTAATTGTTGTTTATTTCTTTCTGTTTTTTCTGGACTATCATTTTTAATCCTATTATAGTATCCGATCAACATAATGCCAACATCCTATATTGGGATGAGACTTGAACCTGCGACTTCCTCTTTGAGAGATCAACAATCATGTTATCAGATCAAAAGGTATTTGGTCCAAATTAAAAAATTCAGCTAGTTCCAATATTTCTTTGTGATTAGATAACTTCTTTTGATCCTCTATAAATGAATTAAATGGTTTTCGTATGTGCACTATGTTTGGAATAGGGGTGGATTCGGGCTGGGCCGGGTCAGGTCGGGCCTAGGCCCGGGCGGGCCGGCGCCCGGCGGGTTTGAATAGGTGGATCCGGGACCGGCCTGGGTAGCCACCGGGTTCGGTCCAGGTCCGGGTCGGGTCGGGCCTTGGGCTTGGGTTAATTTATTTTTTTGCTTACCTACCTATCCTTGACCCCCAAACCCCTCCTAAACATCAAGCCCAACCCAAATTGAGCCCAAACAAATGAAAAAAACAAAACACTTCAATTTGGCCCGAACCGGGCTGGGCCGGGCCTTGTTTTGGGTGACCCGAGCCTGGACCGGAAACCCCTCGGGTCTGCGTACCTAGACCGGTCACTGACCGGGCCACCGGTTCGGGCCGGGCCGGAACAGTATCGGTCCCGGGCCAGTTCCGGATCGGGCCACCCGGCTTGAGTCCACCACTAGTTTGGAAGAAAACAAGTTTTGTATACATTTATGGCATTTCGTGAATCCTTGTATACACGTAGGTAGGCTTTACATTGGGTTGGGTTGATATAAAGATTTTTTACTATATAGTTTTGTTTTTTAAATTGAGATGAGACAAAGCCCAACATGGCCCCCCTTACCTCCGCTTAGGGGTGGACACGGTACGGTTGAGTGAAGTGGTACAAGGCCTAACTTTTGAGATGAGACAAGGCCTGACTTTTGTGCTCGTTCGAGCTCGACTTTGTATGAGTTCCTTCCATCGCATTCAAAGATGCCCAGTTTCAGGTCAGTACGTCTCATTTGCATCACATTGGAAATCTATTGATGTTTTTTACGACGTTACACGCCTCAAGAAGAAAAGTGTTCAACTTTTTCGCGGCGTTTTCTCAAATACATAGCATTCAATATTGAGAGCTAAAGTCCACAAAACTGATTAGCCATATATATGGATAAAAATAAAAAGGTAATGAATCGGAAAGTCATGTGTATCAGTGTATGTTTTGTTATGTTAGTATATCATTGTTGCTTTATTATTTCACTGTCGTTATCATGGTTGTCGTCACCCGTGTCATTGCAACATGTCACTTTTCCTAGTGAATTTTTCTCATGACTTTTCAGTTGTCCACAATGCTTGCCGGAATCAGCACTGGGGTATGAGCGGATAATTGAGTAGGAATTAGAAGTAAAAGAAATGTATATTATTAATTAAAACAAAGGTTAGTCACATTTTCCAAAAATATAAAAAGTATTCATATCTTCTAAAAGTGTAGATGTAATATGTTTGCTGTTTTTTTCCTTTTCTTTTATAGGCCCGCGTTTTTAGACGTTAAAGTTTTTGTACTGTCAATATGATATCCGTGATTAAAAAGGAGAAGATTTGTTTTTTTTTTAATATAACAGAGTGACTTTTTATAAAAATATCTAGAAATCATACAATGCAAACCGATGCGCAAGACACAAAATGGGCAACAACAAAACACTCTATTTATAGGCTAGTTTGGAGACAAGAGGAAGTTGCATCCAAGCTTCCATAGTTATCTCCATATCTTCTCCCATGTTTAGATGTTGGAAAGCTCCTTCCAAGAATGTGTGAGATGCCTCTTGACAACTTCCAAGAAAGAAGGTGGAAGAACCCTACAAATCTACCCCTCCACCTTAATTTTTCTTTATTTCTCAGATTCGTCTTCCGATGAATACCTGATGCCTACTCTGTTTGTATTGTGCGTATACAGAGTAACTTTTTCATATACTTCCTCCGTCCCGGAATTATCTTCATACTTTCCTTTTCGGGCTGTTCCAAATTTATCTCCTCTTTTCCTTTTTAGCAAAGAATTTGTGGTTTACAACCATTCTTACACATTCTTACACATTTCTCTTTCCTCTGCACAACTCTCCGCCACACATTTCCCACTATATTAATCCGTGTGTCATTTGTACTTCAGGAGATAAATATGGGACGTAGGGAGTATTAAAATAAACCGCAAGTTTCTAAATTATGAATACTATAGTTTAGTTTTTCACTTAAATAAAAGAATTAGAGAAAATTAGTAAAATTTTATCAATGAATCATGAGTATAAATGAGAGAAGTAGATCAAAAGAACATTTATATGCTAACCCATAATGAATAAAAGAAATGGTGAAATACGTTCTCAATGAATTCTAATGTGGACGTTTTAAAAATGAATTGAAAGTATCTTAAAAAATTACTACGTATTAACTTTGATTTTATTTTTTAGTTTTTATAGATTTTAATGTACATATAATTAATATTAACATATACACATAATTAAGAAATTTATGTGCCATAGTGGAGCAATGGGCCCTGAGCGCATATCCCTTTGCCCATGTCCTAGGACAGACCCTGAGTATACTCTTGCTCACGTCCTTCCTTGCGTTCCCTGAATCAGCGTCTTCGAATCATTTATTTATTTGGGTAAATTCCTTAAAGAAACCTCATATCATCTTTTAAGGACTAAATTGCAATTTGTTGCCTATCACATGAAATAGGCACCGCGGGTACCATAAAGTGTTTCTAATTTTAATTGATTTCGTTCGCATTTTTCAATGTTTCACTAAAATAAAAGTTAAGCAAGTTATAAAATTAGAAGGGAAGTATAATAGGGAGTATTCTTTCGTTCGCATGAAATTAGAAGGGAAGTATTACCATTGGCTTAACTTGGTATAATACGAAGTATCTTCCCCCCATCACCTTGGTGGTCCAAGCCTTCGGCCGTTCCTCGCATACTCCTTGCCCTTGGCTTTGATGCTTCTTCCCTAACGTACAAGATTTTAAGCTTGTTGGGAGACTTACACTTGAGTTATAAAATTAGAAGGGAAGTATAATAAGGAGTACTTCTTCACCAAGACATTCTTTTCGGGATTGGAGTTATTCAGCTGAAAGAATTTTAAACCCACTAGGATAATACATAACCATTAAGATGTCTCTATATATATACATGATGTCTTTCTATATATACACGCTGTTACATCGAAGATGAGAGTCATTAGGAAAACATGTGTGTGGATATATAAATGCATACATATGACTTATGAGATCATCGTAATTGTTTTGGAAAAAACCAGGCCCTCCGCCCCTGCAAAGAGTAGGGAAATCGGCGAACTATCACTTCTTCACCAAGACAATCTTTTCGAGATTCTGGTTCGACTCGATCATCAATCTTTAGGTAAGTTAAACTGCGTCTCTAGATTCTTCAGGGACCCAAGCTTCCAGGAGTCGTACGTGAATTGGGCGACGAGTCCTATCCACGGCACAACCATTCTCTTCTCTATTCGGGCTCTCTTTGTCCCTACCGCCAAAGACGACAGGCGGTCTTCATATTATCGTTTTCAGCAAGAAGAGTTTTACACCATAAACTACAACTCCCGTGAAGAAGAAGGAAAGCTCATTCAAGCAAAACGTGTTAGGCATTTGGAGGCAGAAGAACGCCTTCTCCGCTGTGTGTCTGTCGCCAAAGGCGGAGTTTTATGTTTCCTTAATGGCAAGCGCGAATACATCACCTGCGACCGTATCACGGGGCAACATATCATCTTCCCCCCATCACCTTGGTGGTCCAAGCGTTCGGCCGCTCCTCGCATACTCCTTGGCTTTGATGCTTCTTCCCGAACATACAAGATTTTGAAGTCGGAAGCTTGTCGGGAGACTTACACTGTGAAGCATTGGGTAATCACAGTGCGGATAGGCGAATACTGGCGGGAGATTGACGACAGCTCGTCCCCGCTGTTTCACCCTTATCATCGCTTCTCGCTTAGCGTTTGCGTTGACAGCGTTATCTATTCCTACAATCAGACCTGTGATATAGAGCGGTGGGAGCGGGTGGACGGGGGCTTTTACCTGGTGGCATTCGACCTTCGGTCCGAGAGTTTCCACGGGATGCCTTTCCCTCCCGTGGAACGCAAACATTATGATGATTTTGTCAGATCCTCTACCTTGGTGGAATTGGATGGCCGGCTTGCTATCATACATGTCTGTAATGGCATGGTTGTTACTTGGAGCTTTGAGCCCTCTTCATCCCTCTGGAACAAGAAGCATGCTATCGCCCTGCCACCGGGGGTGGAGGCCAGGTCACCCAGACATGACGATGATAAGTTCTCGGGCAGTTTTTCCGTTACTCCGGCTGGGGAAGTGGTGCTGTTAATGCCGAGGAGGATGACATCTTCTCTTTGGATTTTGTTGGAAAAGGTCGGGGTAAAACCCATTTGGAAGAAGTTCAGAATTAGCGGACTGGGCGATTTTCCGAATCCTGTTCACGGCTCATTCAAAGCTGTTGTCGTCGTGCAAAACATTACGGAGAGCTTCTTTCACAGGCAATAGCTAGCCGCCTAGCCCGCTGCCGAAGAATTTAAATTTAAGTTTTACGTGATCGATCTTATTAGCCCGTGCACAGATTTGCAGATTTGATTACCTACTAGGTTTACCATTGTAACTGTTTAATGAATTGAAGTTATTTTTCTTGCTTACAAGACTCGTAAGGCTATGTTTGACAGATGAGAGCGGCAGACTAATGTGCATTTAATTTTAAAATACTGAATCTGAATTACTGACCCAATAAAGTAGACTCTTAGGTTTATCAGACTTTTAGGTTTCAAAATAAAGAAACATTGCTCCATAAAAGTATTGATGCATCATATGGACAAATGCTTTCCGATTGAGAAACATTCTATAAGAACTAAAAATCTTCCCCATGTCATGATTAATCCTGCACTAATTCCTGAAACATAATAGAAAAGTTGTATGCGTTAAGTTAAAAGCAAAACAAAGGAGATTTTTTTGCCAGAAACACCTTTAAGTGTTCTCTTAAGTTACACAGTGCCAATTTATTTTGTTGTATTAAAAGGGTGTTTGTGAGATTTATAATGTTCTCTTGTAATCTCTTAGAGTGATCTCTTATGTTTCATACTATGTTCTCTTATAGTGTTCTCTTATGTTTCAGATTTCTTCATCCTCTCCTCAATGGTTGAGCCCATCGTCACAGTCACATGTTCCGTTAGTAGATGTAGATAAGGTGTTTTTTCTTCTCTGTCATGTTATTTACAAATTTAGCCAATAGCCTGAAACATGAGGCGGTAAGAAAAACGGTGTTCTTTTGATCTATTCTGCCATTAATGGCTATGAAACCATCTTTTGAATATGAGAGACATTTCTGTCCTTTCTATTCTAATTTTACACAACAATGTTCTGCAGCATCTGAATTCTGCTGAATACAGCCTGCAAGAAAGGGTTCTTTGAAATATCTAATATCAAAAGGAGTTAAAAAGTATCGAAGTACTAAATGCTCCTTGCAAACTATACACAAACAAGGTTTCATTCTAATATACAAAATATTAGGTTAATGGATAGGGAAAAGGAGCTAATTACTTTTCTCGCTCTTAAAAAATAAAAGGGTGTGCAAGATAAAACTAAAATACCCTCACCCCGTAGTCCTATGCGTCAACTTGTCATTTACTTAATGGGAATTTGTTTTTTTGCTAATGCATTCATCATTGCCAGGTCAGGTGTATTATAAGAAATATTGTAAGAGATTGGGCAGCTGAGGTAATTGTGTGTTTTCATCCATTTTTCTCTTCAAAGTTTTGGAGATCTCTCTCTGGCCCATTCATCTTGTCTCATATGTTGTTTTGAAGTCAAATTGATTGACTTGGTGTTTGTCAGTGTGTGTGTGGGGTGTGTCATTTTAATAGACTTCATTAAAAGTATATCTTGACTCACAACGTGCTACCTCTAACATTCAAATGAACATGTCTTAGTATATGAGTCAAACTTAACATTTTTGACTCCTTAGAAAAAAATAGACAACGTAAATGGAAGATATGGAATGCCAAATTCTGTTCAGTGTTGTAAGGTACTAAGGTCAACAGCACTTCAAATGTCTCATTCATGCAAGGAACTATAAAAGAAAATTTAGAATATTAAGTGATTTTCTGGCCTGCAGCTTTTTGCCTCTTATCTACTTCAAAGAGCTTTAAGGCGTTTAAGCTACTAAGCTAGGCCAAGCAGTGGTTTCCACATAGTTGATTTTCGCGTGCATTTACTGAGCAGGCGAGCTGATTTGCCTTTTTTTCAGAAGCCGGAATTTGAGACTTTTTTGAAAAGCTCTCTATGGAGAGACTATTTAATGAGAATGTTATATTCCAAAATTAGTCTTGATCACTCTAAAGAGTAAATACTCACAAATAAACATATCCTGTAAAGTTCTTCTACAACCCTTCATAAACATATCCATTTGACTTTTATCTACCCCTTTGCAAAACCACAAAATAAGCATCAACTGCATCTTGCTTTGGTGTGTTATGTTTACAGTGGCAAAAGGAAAGAGATCAGTGCTACAAGCCAATTTTAGAAGAACTTGAACATTTGTTTCCTAATCGTCGTAAGGAAAGGTTTGTATGTATTATGTTTCTGTGAGTAACCACAAATTCTAGTTTTTTATAGAATCGGTGAACACTGAAATTGCTTTTTCTTATTCCTAGTCCTCCAACTTGTTTAGTTCCTGGTGCTGGACTTGGAAGGCTTGCTTTAGAAGTTTCATGTCTTGGTAAGCTTATATATCTATTTTGTGATGAGTTATATAAATTCTAAGTACTAAATGTGATATTTGATTTTTTATGGAACAGGATTTGCAAGTCAAGGAAATGAATTTTCATACTACATGATGATCTGTTCCAGTTTTATCCTTAACACGTAAGAATGTAATAATTAATTCATCGTTCATTATTAAATGAAATCTTTGTTAGGTAGCTCTAAGATTGGGTTACTTGTTTTTTGTTTTGTTTTGTTTTATTAGCACTCAAACTGCTGGGGAGTGGACAATCTATCCTTGGATACACAGCAATTGCAATTCACTTGCAGATAGTGATCAGCTTCGTCCGATCTCGATTCCAGATATTCATCCTGCTAGGTTTTTGTCCTTTCTATGCCACAAATACACATCTTTCTACTCATATGTCTTGTTCTTTTTTATTTAATTAATTAATCTATCACCAATACACAACACTAATTGTAACTTTTTATTAATCATTTTATTCACTTATCCGGTAATGGTTGTATTCTTCCAAGACGAAATATAAAGGGTTAACACAAAAGAATGTAGTTAGGTGTTACACGCGGCTTATTTTATATTATGAAGTATGCTGTATTGGATATTTTAAACATAAACACAATGGTAGTAGGTTTGGTCCATACATGTGTTTTCTTGTATGGAAATACATATATAAGTTTTGGTACACTGAAGGTCAATAAAATCTCATTAATCACGTATCAGTGCACTATCCTAGACCTTCTATAGTCAGTTTATATAATTTCTGCATTAACAGAGCTTCTCCCAACCTATGCATTTTTTTATGTATTCATGCATATCTGGTATTCACTCTATTCAGAACCTCACTGCGACCTTCCACTGGATTACACTGCCATACCAAGCTGAAACACTAGGTCCACTAGGGAGCCTTTGCGGCACTGTGGTAATGATGATGATGATTTAGATAAGATGGGTAGGATTCTAGGTTGTCCATTTTGACAGGCTCTTATCTCTGAGTGCTGTATTTTAGTGACAATATAATATCATGGAAAGTAAGAAGTAAAGTATTGTTGCTATGGCTAGATAAAGAAGTTGAGTACTGTGCTATAGACCCATGCCTTAAGAAACTGATCATTGTGCCGTGGCCCTACTCCCTAGCCACATGTGAACTTATGGTTAAAACAAGTACTTCACAAGTTGCAAACTTGCAATATGGTAGTACTATACCAGTGGCACATTGCCCCAAATCCAATTTATCATGATATGACAAATCATATAAAACTGTCACTTTAGGTAGAAGATCATTTTAGGGCACATTAATACAAGCTTTGTTAACTTTAGTGGTCAGTTGGTATTTAAGTTGTATGTGCTATGCTTTCTAGGGCTTCAAAGCTTTAGTCATAAGTCATAAGCGCTGTATTTCTACTGTTATGCACTAAGAAAGTATATAAGTCGTAAGTGCTAAATTTTATATTTGTATATAAATATAGATCCACTTGTTTAGTTTTGTTCACCATACACTGAATCTCAATAAAACATTTTTATTCTACATGCATTAACCCTAGATGTTACTTCATAAGGCATTTCCATTGTGGGTAGTGAATAGTAAGAGCCAGGCCCTGATGTGCTGATAGAGTTTATGAGTACTAGGGTGACCTTGATAACCAAGACAGTTGTTTTTTTTGTTTGGTTTTGTTGATCTAATTAACTTAGCTGAAGTATGCCTGATCAAAGCATCACCATCACCTCTCTATTCTGATAATCCTCACTTTGTACCCTCGGAAACAGTGCAGGAATTACTGAAGGGTTTTCAATGTGCGGTGGTGATTTTGTTGAGGTTTACAGTGATCTGAGCCAAGAAGGTAAAATTTGCAATCAGTATGGCTTCTTTATCTTCTCAAAGTTTGAGGACACAGAGAAAACTGGCTATTCTTGTGCTGTATATTTGACATTTGAACTTCCTATATTTTACATTTTTAGTTCTGGAGATTTTGTTGTTGTGAAAGACTATAATCCTCACTAATCTTCAATACATTCCCCTCCCCTTTTAGTTCCGTAAGTGCTAAATTTTAGCCAGTGCACAGATTTGCAGATTTGATTACCTACCAGGTTTACCATTTTAGTTGTTTAGCTTTTGCTATTTGGAGAGTATCATGTCAATTCATTTTTACTTTAATGAATTAAAGTTATTTTTCTTGCTTCAAGACTGGTAAGACTATGTTCGATACAACGTGTTGGAGTATCTAAATTAAGGGCTATTTGTCTAAATCATAAACTAGTGTGTGAAATTGCATTTAGTTTTTAAGTGCTGAATCTGAATTGATAGTTGGAACTTTGGAATGAACTAGACCCGTTTGGCAAAAAACTGAAAATAGGACCCAGAAATGTAAATTACACTAAAAGACAATTAATGTTTTAAAATAAAATATTTGCACATGTAGAATATATATATATATATATATATATATATATATATATATATATATATATATATATATATATATATATATATATATATATATATATATATATATATATATATATATATATATATTCAAAAATACTCTGTATTCAGGATGTTTTTACTTGGACTGTAATTCATCCCAGACCAAACTAGACCAGATCAGATCAGACCAGACCAGACCAGTTCAGACCAGACCAAACCAGACCAGACTTGGATAGGTATAAAAATACAAAGAAACCAGACCAGATCAGACCAGATCAGACCAGCAAATTACAGTCCAAGTAAAAACATCCTCAGTGACAAATTAAGGAGTTGCTAATTTTAATATACTAACAATGATAAAAACAATAGAATAACAATAACAAGATGGCATCATTTGTCTAGAAATCCAATGGTATGGTGTTATGCCTTCCCCAAGTAGAACTAATTAAATACTAGTATTTGGAGAATTGAAAGTAGAGAGAAAATATCCCCTTACAAAAGTGAATCACATAGCTCCCTCACAAAATTGTTCTCTCACCTTGTCTCTCTTTTCCCTCCAACAATTTATCTTCAAGGTCTTCTTCTCTCTTTCTACACAAACTCCCAAACATACCCTAATGGTATGTTTGAGAGTTTGACGATAAGGGGAGGGGAATGTATTGAAGATTAGTCATCGAAAGGGAAGGGTAGGAAAAAGGAAGGAAATCCCCTTCTTGTTTGAGAGTAACAAATTTGAAAATATAGAGGTTAAAAATTGGATGAGTTATAATTAAAATCACTTCACATATACGATGAATTCAAATAGTTGAATTTATATTTATTTAAATTTGAGTTAAAGTTGTCATTTAATTAGTTATCCTTCAAAATCCCTCAATTTGGGGGAACTTAAAAATTGAACATTTCAATGGTTTTGGAGGTTTACAAAAGCCCTCCAAAACCATTCCTCAATATTTTTAAACTCCCAAACATGAAAGGGAAGATAAAAAACTCTTATCAATCTTCTCATCTCTCCAAAACTCAACTCTCAAACACATTGGTGTGTAGCATATAATGGACACACAACAAATTTTACCCAAGAAAGTAGGGTGTCGAACCACAGAGAAGCGTGAAATAAAATAATTAAGCACAAACTGAGGATTAAAGTTGGGAATGCGTTTCTTTTGATTTTTGTTTGCTTGGAAAAGTAATTAAATAAAAGTGATTAAGAGAAGAGATTTTTATCAACACAAAGTTCAACCAATAGCAAGTAAGGTTAGAAATTGGCAACTAATTGTTCAATACTCATTTGAAAGACATAATTGCTAATTTTATTCTTAGATAGATTGTGAGAAGTTGCAAATAAATATTTTAGGACCCAACACAAGTCACCTAAAATAAGTAACTAGTCAACATTTCCCAATGATGACCAAAACGAGACTAGTTGTTTAAGTGCAACTACAACCTTTATTATTAACTATATTATTTACCCAACCCCGTGGTGTAAATAATATAATTAAATAATTCAATTCTCCCGTAAAACTTCAATCCGGGACAAGGTAAAAGAAGTTTAACAATGTATTCAGAAATTGTTCATTTATGTATTTAACAAACAATATGTTTATGATTGAGTACTCATAATATATATCACAAAAACAAAATAATTAATTTTCTGGACTCAACAATCTAAATAGAACAAACTTAACAATTAAAATCAATACAAATTAAAACATGATAAGAACAATTTATTAACCAATTTCTAGCCCCAAATTTATTTAGCTATACATGTTAGGAAACATAGAAATAGATGAATCCATGATTAAGGTATATATCACAATCTAAATAGAACAAACTTAACAATTTAATTCATAATAAATTCGAAAAAAATTCAAAAATTCGTAGAAATATAATTAAAAAAATTATAAAATTTTTATAAAATAAAAAATTCAAAAACTTTTTTTTTAAATAATTTTATTTTTAAAAAAATTAATAAAAAATAGTAAAACTCCGTAAAAAAATTTTTAAAAAATATGGATGCCTTTCCCACCACCTGTACTACCTCCCGGCACCACCACCTCCGGCCGATGAAAAAATGCCATTTTCCCAGAAAAATGCCATTTTTTTCTGAAAATGCCAAAAAAGTGACATATTTCTCTTTTCGAATGCCAACATTTTCATTTTTTCTGCCATAAATATGGCATTCGTAATGAACTTGTCATTTTCCCCCCTGGTGACCGGAGGTGGTGGTGCTGAGGCAGAAGAGGCGGCGGCGATTTTTTTTTTTGAGTTTTTTTTTTTAATTTTTTTTTTAATTTTTTTAATTTTTGAAAAAAAATTAATTAAATTTTAATATCGAAATGTTTTTCTTAATTTTTTAGTATTTTTTACGAATTTTTATTATTTTTTATTATTTTATTAGGAATTAAAACATTTTAATAGCTATAAGGGTATAATTGTCCAAGGTACCATAATGAGTCATATGCAAACATAGTTTATTTTTTGGTCCTATTTGTGAAAAGTGAATGACTTTTAGTCCTATTTTGATAATTATGGCCCCCGTAACTCATTACGAATAAAAAATTATGACTTCTAGAAAATCAGCACTATCTAAACGTGAAATCAACAAAATTTGATACATACTTTAGTTTCTTTTCCCAAATTTAAAAAATAGGGTATAATTCACTCAATACTTACGTGACACGAGTGAGAAACGGAGCAAAGACAACCTGTCTTATTGCTATAAGTGCCTATTTATCTAAACTGCATATGAAATATTCAATTTGGACATTGTTTAAAAACGATCCACCATTTTAATGAATTGAAGCGTAATGAATTGAAGCGTAATTAAAAAAGTTACATAATACATAAACCATTGTATTGCATTGACTCAAATGCTTAATGAATTGTTGAAGCGTAATTAAAAAAGTTACATAATACATAAACCATTGTTCTAGCAGGGGCATAAAAGCAGCTCAGTACAAAACAAAAAGTTGCATAATTAACATACACCATTTGATAGAGTATATATTCTAGAGAGAAGTGAGAGCTAGAGAGAGAAGTGCAATAAATTCTGCAATAAATGAATTTGTCAACCCCTACAACTACCCCAAGGGGAGTATTTATAAAGGAAATGTGGGCTGAGCTCTCAAGTCTTGGGCTTGGGAGGCCCATTTACAATGGGGCCACTACAGGGCCGAGTACAAAGTATGTAGAAATGACTAAGTATAAATTCCGACTCTTTGAGCTCTCTGTGGCCGACGGGGGTCTGGCCGACGGAGACATGGCCGACAGAGACCCGACCGACGGAGACACCTGGTTCTCCTGGCTTCTGGATTACATCCCGAGTCGATGATTTTCTGGCCGATGGAGGGCCATCTGGCCGACGGAGGTTCCACCGGGTGACAGTTGTGCCTCTTATTCTTCTGAGTATGTGGGTCCTGGGGTCTGGGCCCATATACTCCATCAGGAGTCCCCCACTCTCTGAGCTGAGATGCAGACGAAGTGAGGGAGAGTAGTTTCCTGCAATCTTGACGTTTTTGGCCGACGCAGGGGTGCTGTGGTTATTCTTTGTGTTTGGCCGTTTTATGCCCTTCTTTGTGGACGAAGGAGGCTATTGTTTCGCTGATGGTGTGTGCTTGTTTGTTTGAGGATGATGAGTGTCCTGGCTTAGTGGCCGATATGCATCTTTGATTTGAGTAGCCGGTGAGGGTGATGTTTCTTCTCTTTGGCCGTTGTTAGTTGCCTTTTTGTTTCAGGCCGAGGAGGTATCATGGTTGCTTTTGGTGCTCCAGGCCGAAGCGATATTATTCGTAGTTTGGTGTCCATGGCTTTGAGGACGATAATGGCAATGGGCCAGAGGACGTTGTGTGTCCTTGGTTTTGTGGACGATGAATGTCATGTCTTTGACTTTAGCTCGTGGATTGTACGCTTGTGGGCGTTGGGGCGTTATTTTCTTATCATGGTCGAGGGTGGAGTACCTGGACAAGGCCGTCGGAGCACCACGTGTCGAGGGAAGATCTGTGTCACGATCTGAGAGGTGTGAGTTTTGTTTCCCTGTGCTTATTTTGCTGCGGCCGAAGGTGTATCACAAGGTCCTGGATGTTATGGTGCATAGACGATACGGTGTATTTGTAATTGTATACTTATGCATTTTTGAATTTTTAATATCATTCTTGCGTTTGGAGGCCGGTGTAGTCCCCCAGTCCCCCACTGCTTCAGGCCGAAGGGTCAGTGAGGGGTGAAGTAGTAAGGTGAAACCCCAAGCCAAAGTGGGATCCTCGTATTTCCCCTGAATCCAACCCCTTGGCGATTCCTGACCAAGGTAACCCTGAGGGAGAACCCTTGGATACAAGTCGCTTTCAAGAGGTTATCATCAGTAGGTCCTTTACCGACCTTCCTTCGTCCATCCACGGCTGGAAGTAGTGCCTTAGCTTCTTCACCGTGTGGACGATGGACATCACCAGCTTCTCGATGGGGAAGTACCGTAGCTCGGCCTCCCGGAGCATCTTGCTGACGTAGAAAACTGCCTTTTGCACCCCTTCATCCTCGCGGATGAGCACGGATGACGCACACTAATTAGTAGTGCATAATTATATGTTTTTATGTTTCATTGATGGTGATTGTTTGACGTTTTATTTAGTTTGTAAACATTTGTGTGATTTTAGTCGTAATTGTATTTTAGTTCTCATTTGTAAGTTGTAAAGTAGAATTAGGAATTAGGATGCTGAAAAGGAGGATGTTGAAGTGAAGAAAAAGGAATTTTGACTGTCCAGGAGCAAATAC